GAGGGAGGGGAGAGACAGCTGTGGTATTCCCAGGCTCCCTTTTGGGGGCACAGTACCTGCAATCCGTTGAAAGCTTAGGCAGAATTGGATGGTGGGGGACAGGGAAAGGGTTTAGGGTTTAGTACGGGATAATCACACCTCTACTGCTTGTCCCTAGAAAATTAACGTCCCTAACTAAGAAAGCCTCCGAAAACCCTTTACCCCAATGCACACAGGGCCTTCCAGCAAGTTTCAGGTGAACGTGGATGACAAAATAGGACCACTGGCTCTCCTTCGACTTTCCATTCCAGAGCAGGCCAGCTAGCTCGGGTGGCCCTCCCCTGTGCTCCAGGGAATCCTGGGTTCAACATGGATGCAGCTACAAGGAGACAGGAGGGTCCTGCCCGGGGTTTCCTGTGAAGCTGCAGACTCCAGGGCCTAGAACTGGCGGTCGCTCGTGGACACGCAAACACCCTCCACACGAGGAACGTGTGGTTCAGTGCGGATGTTAACAGGAAGGAACCTCTACATAAAGGGCTTTGAGAAACATAAAATATGGGCGGTGGAAAGGGATACTTCATAGACTGAAATACTTTCAAGGACTGCTGAACCGTTTGCTTTTATAAAACTCAAGGAAAGCAGGAGGCCACCACCGCTGAGGACAAGTCTCTGACAATATTAGCATTCTAGGCCACAAATATTAAAACAAGACCTCGAACCAGGATAAATGATTATCTGCTTGAAATAAAAGTATACATGTTTAAGTCACTGTAAAAGCTTAAATCATAGAAAGCATTATCTGCCTCCTTAACAATCATTCCAGTAACTCCAACTCCTGAGTTCTTACCATATAATTCACAGAATCAAAGCGTCATATTTGACCTCAACTTCATATTGACTCTGGTGGGCTGGGCTCTCGCTGGAACTCAGAGCGATCAGCTTCACTGGTCCGGAAAGCAAACCTAGTCTGTGCCCTTAAACATCTTAGGAAACCTCGCAGAAGCAAGCATGCTCTAGAAGCCTGTCCTTTAGGCAAGGTCGAACACAGCAGGTCCAGAGTGTCTCCTGATACAGCAAAAGCAGCAAGCAGAGGGGTGATTTACAGCACACTCAGTCCAGACGGCGTGCACGAACTCTTCAGTTTCTAAAGCAAGCAGAGGGAGAAGTGGCCACATCTAACTTGCCTGTGCTGAACCATCTCCTGGATGAAGAGGCTCAGTGGCGACGTGTACACTCGCGGCATCCAGCCTTCCAGGGGATGTCTCTTGATGTTTATGGTGACCGCCTGGATGCTGAGGAGGTCAGCCAGGCGTAGAAAGTTCACTTTGTCTGCAACGCAAAGACAACCCCAAATTCATGGCCATTGGGACTTGGAAGTCAAGTCAGCAGACTCTTGCGTCTTCTTTCACAGATGAAGTCCTGAAGCCTCAAAAGGCCTAGGAACCAGGGAGTGGCAGAGCCAGCCCTCCATCCCCAGGCCCCCTGCCTGCCCTCACTCAGCCCTCGGCCAACCCAAGTCAGCAGACTGTCATTTTCCTAGTTAGCAGCTGCCACCACCTTCCTACCTCCCTCCCACAATGCTCTCCTCCTCAGAGGCCATGGCTACTTTCAGTGTCTGCCCTAACCCACCTCTCCAGCCTTGCCCCTACTTCCCCTCTCTTCCATGAAGGCTTCCAGGCCTGAATGTCATCCATACCCTTCCACTTGAACCCTTACCATCTTCTCTGCTCACCCTCCCTCTCTGTCCCTTCTCAAGGACTCACTCATACTGTAGCTACAGCTTCTACAGTCAGCTCACCCACTACCGTAGGCCAAAGTGCAGTGACTGACTGGACCCACCCAACTGAGGGGGTGATGCTCTCCAGACCGTCTGCATGCCCGGGGCCAGCAGGCTGTTCCCCACTGCCCCAGCACCTCTGCAGCCCACCAGTCAGGTCATATGTTGACCACGAGTCAACCGGACTGATTCCCAAACCTGTTTATGCTTGAACTTAAATACCTATAACTTAAAGAGATACCACCTAAGTGGATGAAATCAGAATGTGTCAAGAGAATGGCTGCTTCTTTGAAAACGAAGTTGAATGCTTTGGAAATGCTAAAGAAAGTTGTTCAAATGAACTGCAGGTGCAAACTAGGCATAGCATCAAGGATGGCAGCAGGAATTTTAAAAACCTGGAAGAATTCTCATTTAGGGTGATCTGTAAATGTCTAGGCGTCCACTTCAGTTTTCAGAAACAAACTAAGCATCATGGTTGTTTTGGGGAGCATCATGGTGTGGAGTAAGAGAGACATTATAGATCTTTCATCAACAGACATCCATGAATGAAGAGGCCCTGGACTTGCCAGAAGCACAGCCTCATCTGAACCCAAATCAGATAAAGCCTTGGGTGGCATCAAACACTCATGTTGCTATTTTAAATATCCCTAAGAGCTGTGTGGTCCTGTGAAATTCTATTAGTATACAAAGCGTTAAGACTTAAACCTAGTGTTAAACGAAGAAACACAAAACTTGACAAATATGGAAAGAAAAGGCTGAGCAGAATTATTAACAGAGAATATGGAGTGAGTAATGTCACATCCACTAAGAACGTGAAAGTACATAAGAGTCCATCAAGTTAGACGGAACAGACACTCAGATACCTTAGGATTCGCCAAGTTCCCAGGTCTTCAGAGTTAGAAGGAAAATACACATCCATACATCTTAACAGCCAAAGACACACAAAAACCACTCAGGTGGAGGTACAGCCTCAGGAGAATCAGGTAACATTTATAACTTGAATCCAAGGAGCTGGGTTGTGTGATCTCCACCATCTTGAGGTTTTTGGGGCCCTGACATCACAAAGCTAAATAGGATTTGGGGTGAACTACCAGGATTGCTGACAGGAATCTAGTCAAAATCTCTAACCAGCAAATAACCACAATCATAAGGGAATCAATCAGTCTCATTGGGTTCACATCTTTCAATCCAGAAGAGTCAGCAGAACAAGAAAGGGCAAAGAAAATCAAAAACCACAGTAATGTTGTATAACGAAGGATTTGTTACTGTTAGGTGCTGTTGAGTCAGTTCCGACTCATAGCGACCTGATGTACAATAGACCAAAACGCTGCCAGGTCCCGCACCATCCTCACAACTGTTGCTGTTTGAGCCCACTGTTGCAGCCACTGTGTCAATCCATCTCACTGAAAGTCGTCCTCTTTTTCACTGACCTTCTGCCTTACCAAGTATGCTGTCCCTCTCCAAGGACTGATCCCTTCTGATAACACGTCCAAAGTACATGAGACAAAGTCTCACCATCCTCAATTCTAAGAAGCATTCTGGCTGTACTTCTTCCAAGACGGATTTGTTCGTTCTTCTGGCAGTCCATGGCATATTCAGTATTTTTTGCCAGCACCATAATTCAAAGGCATCAATTCTTTGGTCTTCTTTATTGATTGCACAGCATATGGGTGATTAAATACTATGGCTTGGGTCAGGTGCACCTTAATCTTCAAAGTGACATCTTCGCTTTTCAAGACTTTAAAGAGGTCTTTTGTGGCAGATTTGCCCAGTGAAATGTGTTGTTTGATTTCTTGACTGCTGCTTCCATGGGCATTGATTGTGGATCCAAGTAAAACGAAATCCTTGACAACTTCGATCTTTTCTCCGTTTATTGTCAATAGTCAGACAGACCTTATAAAGAAACAAGCATCGCTCATGGGCATGTCCGGGTGCCTGGGTCTTTTCTGGACGAGCAGAAGGTGCTCAAGTGCGAAGCTGAAACAATGGACAGCTCATTTTTAAAGAGAAATCAAGGAATACACTTTACAAACAAGTGGCAAAGAAAAAGTCTGAAAAGCCCTAAAGATTTTTCAAGGCCTCCGCAGTCCAGACCATCTAGAAGCAGCAGAGGTGATAGTAAAACATCACAGAGGAACCTCAAGTACAGATTGGCCAAAGTCTGGGAACATCTGAACCGAAGTGCCGGACACACCACGCCTAGCTCTTGGGAGCAGGAGATGGGAAGGGAACCCTCGACCCCAACATTCTCTCTAATGTCTTAGAGCAATGCTACTCATTGCCAGTAGGGGGTGCCAAGATACACTTTCATTTGATAATTTAAGAAAACTTAAAAAAAAAAGCACCTCTGCTAACCAAAAGGTTGGAGGTTTAAGGCCACCCAGAGATGCCTCAGAAGAAAGGCCTGGTGATCTACTTCCAAAAAATCAGCCATTGAAAACCCTAGGGAGCACAGTTCTACTCTGACACACATGGGGTCTCCAAGAGTCAGTCAATCTGACAGCAGCTGATTTGGTTTTTGGTTTTGGTTTTACCCACAACTTGTAGAAGCTGCCTGATTTTGAACGCATGGGGAAGAGGAACATTAGAGGCCAATGCTTCTTACCCACATGTCCCTCCTGCCCCTCGTCAGAGATCTTCAAAAGGAGCTCCAGGTGGGAACTGCTGATGTCTGGAGCCATGACCTTGGCCAGCTGCTTCCACTCGGCCTCCTTGACCACAAACTCCGTGCCCACCTTGACTTTCAGGATGTTGAAAGCCTTTATCATCTTGTGACGTTTCAGGTAAGCCAGCTTGCGAATCTCATTCTTAAAAAAATAGAATTTTGTTTTTCTATGAGAAAGATTCAAGAAAGCCTCATTTCTTTACCCCAAACATGTCAAAGTCATTGACAAGCCAAAGGGAAATCGCTAATGGGTCTGTTAACAAGCAAGGTGTACAATCCCTCCCCTATTCCAGGTGTATTTAGCTAACCCCCTCTGCATAAACAGAACTCACTCATCTCACCAAGTCTGCATGTCAGAGCACACGAAGGATAGTCTGCGTGGTGAAAAACAGAGCAGCAAGAGGCAGACAGCTCCCAGTGCACTCGGCCCAGGGGAGGAAGATTCCAGAAAGGATGGAAACCATACGCTGAGAGGGGAGAGACCCCAAGGCGGAGAAGGAAGACAGGTCCACCGTTAGGTCAAGAAGGAGAGAGGAGGAGGAGGAAAGTCAGGGAAGTGAAACCGGGCCGGACGGGGTCTGGAAAGACGGGGTCCAGAGCAGGAAGAACAGCTGCGGCTGCCTGGAGCTGCCACCTGGCCTGACTGCACAGAATCTTCCAGAAGGGGAGAGAGGCCAAACAGCCCTCCTCCAGTAACAATCGGCCCTCCCCTTCACGACTGCCCCTAGTGGTCTCTGTAAGTCTGTTACCCAATATCGTCAGCACTTAATTGACTGCACAGCTAGACTGTAAACCCTTACAGGGCACGGGCTGTGTCTTCATCACCTTTGAATCCTCAGAAGCTTGTGTGGTGCCTGGCACATAAGGCACGTTTAACGTTTGCTCACTGACCCACGTCACAGAAGATGAGTTTCCCAGGAGTGCCGCCAGAAGAGACGCTTCCTTGGGGGCAGGGGCAGACACAGCAACAGTTCTGCCCAGCAGAAAAGCAGGAGAGGCACGCAAGACCCCCTGGGACAGCGGCTGTCCACCCAGAAGGAGGAAGTCGAAGCAGCAGGGCCTCTAGGAGGCCTGGCCTTGGGGTCAGGAGCAGCCGAGGTTCCACGTACACAGACTCCTCAGTAGGGCGATTAACCCACAAGGTACGCACAGGCTTACTGGTGCTCGCTTATTAAAGCGTACTGTGCAATTTCACGTGGGTTTCACCACATTTTTGATGTGGTGAAATTGCACACTACAGATTAGTAAGTAAGCACCAGTAAGCCCGTGCGTACCTTGCTTGTGGGGTAATCCGTCCCTGCCTCGGGACCTGGGGATGTGCAGACACCTTCAAAGGCCAGTCTGGCCAAATTCCAGACTGCCCCCGACCACCTTCTCAGCTGCAGACATTAAGTTTCCCCTACTTTCTACTTGTCCCTGGCGTGGACACCCCTAAGCAATGAAAAACTGGAAGAACCAAAGGCTGAAGGATCAAAATCTTTTGGCTTGTGACTTTCCTGAGGAAAATCGCCTTTTGGTGAAAGGTGTCTCTACATGACTGTTTTTACAACAGAAGAAACAGATGACCAGAGGTCTGCGCAGGTGGGGGGCCGAGGGGAGGCCAGACAGGTATCTGGGGTGCCCCAGTGGATGCCGGGCCACAAACACCGCATCCTCCTACCCAGGTACTCGGGAGCTCTCCAAACATAAACCAAACAGGCAGGTGGTGGGATAAAGGCCACGGGCTTAAGAAGTTTCTGCTTCTGTTTGAGGGGGAAAAGGAGCTGCAGTCTTGGAAAAGGTCCTCAACCCCCAATCATACCCAAAATGTTTTAAGGAGCCATGAGCTACTCGATGGGCTAAGAGAAAGGAGGGCAGCGAGGATCTGACACTGCACACAAGAGGATCCACGCCCCAGCTTCGTTCTTTGCCCTTCAGTACCTCTTCAGACACACTGTCGGACGTCACAAAGCCTGCTAAAGAACCATCCCGCTTAGCAGAAGGGACCGAGACACCAAGCAAGCCTCCAGACCCACCAAAGTAAATACATAAAGGACTCTTTAAAATACTTAGCAATCTCATCTGCCAGCCCTCCCCGCCACTGCACCCGGCTGCGTGCCTGCCTCCCTCCACCCCCGGGTCACACATGATACCTTTAAGTGTTTCCTGTAATTGCTGTAGACCACGGCCAGAAAGATGGACGTGAAGATGTAGGTACTGGTGATGACATACGTTAAAAAGGACAGAGAATACCACCAGTTGAAGGTATAGGCAGGCATCCTAAAAGGAAATAATTACATCTCGTGGTTTTCATGCCCTATTCCCTCCCTACACATAAGGCTGACTCAGGCAACCTCTCACGCGCACAGTGCGTGCGCACGAGGCACCAGAAAACCTTTGCTCACTGTAACTCCCTCCTGCATACGGTGCAACAGGGCGTCGGAGCCTTCGCCAGCCCTGACCCTAAACAGCTCGGCTCCAAGCCTGTCCTCCTGAGCTTCTCAGTGCCCTACAGAGGCACCAACATTCAAAGCAGGTGGGACCTTGGGGACCCTCTGATCCAACCTCCTCCCTAGATTTCCCTGAACTGAGGCCTAGCAGGGGGAGTGCCTTACCCAGAATTACAGAGGGAATCAGAAGCGCAGCTCAGATTTCCACCCAGGACTGTGCAGGGCACCAGGCTGCCCCGGCGGGGGCCGGGTAACTTCCCACCCCCAGTGAGACAATACGAGCGTGCTGCTAACAATCACAGCAGGACAAGAGACGCCAGTCAGGACACATGCTCACTCCACCCGCATGGCAACTGGTGTTCCTACAGGTGGGTATGCTGGCACAGCTGGCGGGGCAGGGTCTGGGGGACAGGCCTCAGAGACCCCAAGGAGGGCCATGACTTCACCCTGCTTATGCTTTCGCCAGGCCAGGCCTGAGAGTGGGCAACAACCAAGAATAGGTCAGTCTGATGACCCTGCATGACTGAAAAACAATGAAAAACCAAACTCCTTGCCGTAGAGTCGATTCTGCCTCATGACAACCCCACGTGTTACTGAGTAGAACTGCTGCGCAGTGTTTTCTTGACTGTAATCTTTATGGAAGCAGATCACCAGGCCTTTCTTCTGTGGTGCTGCTGGGTGAGTTTGAACCGCCATCCTTTAGGTTTGCTGTTGAGGGCAAACCTGTGCCACCCAGGGACCTACACAGAAGCAGACAAGAGAAAAACTCCCCTCCTCAGAATCGCATTTAGATGAGAAGTGAATTATTCCCAGGGGAGCCCTGCACACACCCCAAAACCTGACAAGTAATCCACTCAATGCAGCACCGTTCACTAGTGCAGCCCAGGAGCAAGGTGAGTCCACAGTGGGAGGACGCTGGGAAGAGCCACACGAGGGGTTCCACCTAAGCACTGCCCGCGCGGGGAAAGAACTGGCAGCTGGGGCGGGGGAGGCAGGCAGGGTGGAAGGAAGCAGACAACTACACATCTCACATGTCTTCCCTGTTTCTTCACCCAGGAAGCCACATCAATACTCAGGAGAACTGGCCATTTCTTTATAAAAACTGCTTTGATGTTGAAATTGAAGACTCAAAGACAATCCTACAGTAGAAAGTAGGCTCAAATATTTAAGAGTTGTTATCTCAAAAGATGTCTCCTGTTGCTTTCAATTTTTGAACAATTCATTTAGATTTAGTTTTAAATAGAGAGGGTAGGGTATCATTAATGTGGAGTTGCTGAGTGGTGCAAACGATTAATGCGCTCAGCTGCCAAACGAAAAGCTGAGGTTCAAGTCCACCCAGAGGTGCCTCGGAAGAAAGGCCTGGTGATCTACTTCTAAAAAATCAGCCATTGAAAACCTTCTGGAGCACAGTTCTACTTGATACACATGGGGTCACCATGAGTCAGAGTCGACTCAACGGCAAGTGGCTTTTTTGTAATTAGTGTAAACATTTTCTATTCTTCAATTTTTTTACAAAGAACATGAATTAACAGAAAATCTCTATTGCGCTCTTTCAGCCCTGCTAGCATTAGGGAACAGCTGCTTTCGAAAAGGTGACTCCTTAGAGCAGTGGAAGTCCACGAACATGAGGTGGGGACGTAAGTACATGACATCGGGGCTGTTTGCAGTAGCCACCAGCACGCAGAGCTCAGACACTATCTCCAGGATGTTCGTAAAGTAGGGTGATCCTTCCACTGTTCTCAGACCCCTAGGAGGAACCAAAAACACAAAGTCAAAAACCACACACGTAAATTTAGTTGTGGTTTCTGATGCACTTCTCCCCTTCTGAGAGCACTCCTGAGGTGTCTGAACAAGGAAGAGAGCTTCCGGTGACAGACCCACCACCAACAGGCTGAACCCAAATACGAGAAGCTTCCCGAGAACTGGACTCACTGACCTATCCCCAAAGAGCTTCAAGGCCATTAGGGAGAATATCAGCATGCTGAAGAGAAACAAGAGGAAGACGCACAGGATATCGGGCAGAGTGTTCCGGATGCTTCGGAAAGGTCTTCGGATCTGCAAAGACAAAGTTTAATTTCATTTACAAGAAATCAACTAATTTTCTGCAAAAACAAAAACCAAACCACCATGTATGCTCAACTGGATTCTTACCTGACGACTTTCAGGGAAGTTGATTAGGAAGACTGGCCTCAAGGCCCTTGACCATCTAACACTGTGGATGCCAACAGCTTCCAGGGACCCACAGATGATCAGGTCAATCAAGGTCAGCTGTGAGAGACACGGGACAATGAGGTCAGGACAGAGGAAGTGATGATGTGGACCCAGCTTACCTCCCCAGGAGGAGGGCCACAACGTGCTACACGGAAAAGCGAGTTTTATAAAAGGCACAATTCCACTTTTGTAATATGACATTAATAGCAGTTGTCATGGACTGAATTGTGCCCCCCAAAAATATCTGTCTACTTGGCTAGGCCACGATTCCCAGTATGGTTTGACTGTCTACCATTTTATCATCTGCTGTGAGTTCCCTATGTGTTGTAAATTCCATCACTATGATGTAATAAGGTGGATTAGCAGCAGGTATAGTTATGAAATCTACAAGATTAGATAGTGCCTTAAGCCAATGTCTTTTGAGAGACATGGGAACCTCTTACCACTGAGATAGCAGCGCCGGGAGCAGAGCGTGTCCTTTGGACCTGGGGTTCCTGTGCGGAGAAGCTCTTAGTCCAAGGGAAGACTGATGACAAGGCCCTTCCTCTAGAGCTAACAGAGAAAGCCTTCCCCTGGGGGCTGATGCCCTGAATTTAGACTGTGAGAGAATAAACTTCTCTTTGTTAAAGCCATCCACTTGTGGTATTTCTGTTACAGCAGCACTAGATGACTAAGACAGTAGTGAACGTTTGAGTGTTTACTATGTGTCATATAATAAACCCCTGCCATGAATTATTTCATTGCATGCTCACCACACTCTAAACTGGGCACTGTTCCTAGCCAAGCTTCCCATAGATGGGGAAGCTTGAGCACAGAGAAGGTAAGCACCTAGCCCCTGGTCACACAGCTCGTAAGGGGCAGAGCTGGGGCTGGAACCCTGGCAGTCTGACGTCAGAGCCCTTGCTGTTAACTGCACTGCTACGCGCTCCCACACTACGTCCTGTTTAACTTTAAATTGTTTCAATTAGATATGCATAAGAGGGGAGTCTAGCTGAATAACCAAAGTAAGAATGTTTAGAATATAGAAATCCTTCCTAATGACAGGCTTGTCAGCATCTGAGGACAGCGAAAGGAGCCCAGTGTATTTTAGAAAAATGTAAGTAAAAAGAGAATAATCCACCATCATCAAAAGGGTTGATTCAGCCCCTTTGGTTCTCAGGCACCGAGGATCCATCGAGAGCCCACCCCTCGAGTGGAGGGAGGGGACACAGACACAGTGCCCTGCACTCTACGCAGCTACAAATGCAGAGACCCCAGTGGCTGCCCCAGGGGAGCAGAAGGGTGGGTCACCAAGGGTTATGATATTTGGAGGTTCATGGACATACTCCCTGAGGTGATCTTAAAGCAGACAGAGCTTTAAAAAAGTAAAACTCAGGTCAAGAGGCAGGGCAGGAAGGCTCCATATGGGAGTCCCCTCAAGCAGGGAAAGAGCTTTTGGTATACAGGTGGGCCCAGCAGGTAGATGGGGTTGGCTGGAGAGAAGGCGCCTGTGAATCATGTTTGGTGAGATGATGGGGCCAGAGTACTCAGCGGTCTGCGGAGCTTTCAACGTTCTGAGCAAGGGAGGGAAGTGATCTGAGATATGCTTCCGGAGAACTAATCCAGAAGCAGCATCTAAAACGCATGTATCTGGGATCTGAGGAGACTGTGGCAGTTCACACAAGGCATGATGTGGCTGGGGCCACGTGTGGGCTCAGAAATGCATGTGGCAGAGAGACGCAGTTCAGGGGCCACTGCAATGGTCCTGGTAGAGAGAACAGGCAGCAGAGACAGCAGACAGTGCACGAGAGGCTTGGGGAGACTGGACATGGCAGAGCAGGAAGAGGGGGTCATCACAGTGACTTGGGAACTGGGTGACGGAGACAAAGCCCCAACCAACCAAAAGCAGCCGGGAGACTTGTTCAGGAAGAAGAGGACAGGTTCACTCGCACTGTGTTTGAGTTGATGTGGAATGACTGGCCAGCAGCTGGCCACAGAGCAAAGAAACTCAGAGGGACCTCTCCTCACCAAAGGTGTCTGCAGAAGCTCTGAGAACAGGTGACTCTCCCGGAAAAGAACATTGAGTAGAAAGAGCAGAGGTATGCAGCCTGAGCCTTGGGTTAACTGGAAGAACCTTGGTTCAGACATGTTGGCTGATGTGCCCTATGCTAATTTTAAAGTATCCTTATCTAATCACTACAGCAGCCGCCTCTCTGCTCGTTACAGGAGTACTTGGAGATGCCCGCCATTAACTACCTGGCATATATCCTTCCAGATTTTTCTATGTATGTCCAACATTCTTTTTTTTTTTTACAAAGATGTGATCCAACTGTACTGTAATCTGCTCTTTTAACTTAATAGATGATAAGCATCTATTCTTAATAACAGACATACACCTGCCTTTAAGACTATTGTAAATGGCTGCATGAGTATACCACATTTTATCTAACACAGATGAGTCGGAATCAACTCAAAAGTAATGGGTTTTGTTTTTTATTAACAGGAAATCAAGATGTTTCCAATTTGTCAATATTATGAACAGCTTAGCCATGACCAATCTTGTGGCTAAATCTTTGAACACATCCTTCTTTCCTAAACACAAATTCCCAGGACGGAAGTCCCGGGTGCAAGGGAATGCACATTGAAGGCCTTTAACTGTCAAACAGCCCTCCAGAAAGACAGCTTTATTCCTCCTACCAGTAGGGTATACCAGTCGCTGTCAAGTTGATTCTAACTCATGGTGACCTCATGTGTATCAGAAGAGAATTGCACTTCATAAGGTTTTCAATGGCTGACTTTTCGGAAGTAGATCCTAGACCTTTCCTCCAAGGTGCTTCTGGGTGGCCTTGAATTGACAACCTTCACTTAACAGCCAAATGTGTTAACCATTCACACCACCCCAGGGACCCCCCAGTAGGGTATAAAAAGGTCTGTTCTCCTTCAGTCTTGATTAACGTTGTTTTACAGGCAAACACATAGTATTTTATTGTTGCCTTAATGTCTATTAATGAGTGAAGGTAAACATCTTTCCTGTCAGCCATTCTATACTTCTTCTTTTAGGAAGTGCCTTCACATATTTGTCAGCACATTTTCCTATTTTTCTGTCCTGCCTTTTCTTTCCTTTTGAAGGGTCTTTGATATGCCGGGATATCAGGGGTCACATGTTGCCATAGTCGCTCTGCGGTTTGTGGTTTGCCTGCGGCTGTGTTCAGGGTTTGCTACACCAAAGTCTGTAACTGTTGCTTTAACAAAGTCACGTCCATCAAGCCTTTTCCTGCATGGTCTCTGCCTTGGACCACAAACTCTTACAGGCACAACAATGGACACTCACCACTATAGTTACCATGATGCAGATGTTTTTTGTATCCTTCCAGAAAACCACCTGAGGAGTGACTTTTGCAAAATGTACAAGTCTCCCAAAGAATGTGGTCAGGCAGAGGACTTCCACTATGGAGGTAGTCTATACAGAGAAAACAGAGTCAGATCCCACATCCTGCCTCTGGGGGCTCAGCTTCACACACAGAGTCAGATCCCGCGCCCCGCCACCTGGGGGCTCGGCTTCGCACACAGGGTCAGATCCCGCGCCCCGCCACCTGGGGGCTCGGCTTCGCACACAGGGTCAGATCCTGCACCCTGCCACCTGGGGGCTCAGCTTCACACACAGAAACAGTCAGATCCCGCGCCCCACCACCTGGGGGCTCAGCTTCACACACAGAGTCAGATCCCGTGCCCTGCCACCTGGGGGCTCAGCTTCACACACAGAGTCAGATCCTGCACCCCCACCACCTGCGGGCTCAGCTTCACACACAGAGTCAGATCCTGCACCCTGCCACCTGAGGGCTTGGCTTTACACACAGAAACAGTCAGATCCCGCACCCTGCCACCTGAGGGCTCGGCTTTACACACAGAAAGAGTCAGAACCCGCGCCCGGCCACCTGGGGGCTCAGCTTCACACACAGAGTCAGATCCTGCACCCTGCCACCTGGGGGCTCGGCTTCACACACAGAAAGAGTCAGATCCCGCACCCTGCCACCTGGGGGCTCGGCTTTACACACAGAAAGAGTCAGATCCCGCGCCCCGCCACCTGGGGGCTCGGCTTCACACACAGAGTCAGATCCCGCGCCCCGCCACCTGGGGGCTCGGCTTCACACACAGAAACGGTCAGATCCCGCACCCTGCCACCTGGGGGCCCAGCTTCACACACACAGTCAGATCCTGCACCCTGCCACCTGGGGGCTCAGCTTCACACACAGAGTAGGATCCTGCACCCCACCACCTGGGGGCTCAGCTTCACACACAGAGTCAGATCCCGCACCCTGCCACCTGAGGGCTTGGCTTTACACACAGAAACAGTCAGATCCCGCGCCCTGCCACCTGGGGGCTCGGCTTCACACACAGAAACGGTCAGATCCCGTGCCCTGTCACCTGGGGGCTCAGCTTCAGTTCACTTGTGCAGCTCTTGCTGCCGCCCGGCCTTCCCTGCCCTGCACCCTCTGAGAATTCGCGGTTACTTAATTTTACTAGAAGTTTCAGCAGAACTCTTTGCTGGTTGGAGTGGTTTCTTCCTCTTAGAAAGAAACCTGCCCCTAAGTCAGGAATTCCAGGACCCCCTCCAGGCAGGGCTTCCTGGGAGGAGCTGAAGAGACGACCTAGAACTCTTTTCCCCAGAAAAGCAGGAGGGCAGGGATTGCAGAGGCAGGCGTCCTCCACGCCCTCAGATTCCCCGTGTTCGCACTCAGAATAAGATATCTGGAAGTTCATTTGTCTAACAGTAGGAGATTTCTCCAAAGATGTTTTGAAATAGTAGCCCAGTCCTTAACCACCATGCCACGGCAGCCCTGCTGCCTGTATTCGGCCGCTTAGAGGAGAGAATGGGGGCCCCCGAGATCCAGTGCGAAGTCCTGATCGTCTCCCCCGGCCCCCACCCCGTAGATGACAGCACCGGCTCCAGACTCCCCACAGTCAGCCTAGCTGGCAGCCGGGCTCTGGCTGGGGCTGCCCCGATGCCTCCACTAACAAGGGCGCTTTCCCCATCAGCGGGAGGGGAGGGTGGTGAAGCAGGAAGAGAGAGGAGGGGGCAATTTGTCGCAGGCTAGGAAGAGGGAGAGGTGCTGGGTGAGGGCTGGAGGGAAGGGGCTCCCTGAAGGACAGGTGGCAAGGGGCTGACTCTGGGCCCTGATAGCAGCGGGTGACACAATCCTCCTGCCCCTAACCCAGCCCTCTTGGGTCCTGGGTACCAACGTGGGCTGCAGCCCCTTGCAAACTTTTTAGCTCTCAGCCTTTTCACCCTTGAAGGGCTATAGAATCTCACTGTCAAGGCCAGACTTGCAAAAGGACCTGGTGCAATTCCAGGACACCCCTACTCAAAACAAGACTTGCCTGGTAATGCGGGAATTGAGGCCCAAATTCCCCCATAACACATTCAGTGTCAGAGACTCAACGTGCAAACGCTGTCTGAACACTCCGAAGCTCAGACAGCCAAGCCAGCGCCAGGCGTGACCAACACCTGGTGAAGGAGTGAGGACTCAGGAGAGGCAAGGGGCAGTGCAGGCGACTCCAGGGAATTCTCACCTTGGCTGGGGAGGGCTACAGAGACTGGCAAAACTGTCCAGGTCTGTGAACGCACAGCTTTGCTTCTTCAGAATTTGTGTTTGACAGTACTGGGTTAGAAGTCTTCTACCCAGAGGACTCATTAGCTGTGAAGTCTTCATCATATGGAAGCGTGGGGGACCATCACTGTGGCAGCCCCCAGTGAACCACACTTCCAGTCTTCACACCCTGGCGTACTGTCCGCCTTGTTGACTTGGGCCTTGGGCACGCGATTGGCTTTGGCCAACAGCCCATCAGCAGACGTGATGCAAGCTGAGGCTTGATGGAGCCTGCACACTGGGAGGCTCCTTCTTGGACACAGCCACCCGCCAGGAGAAACCAAGCCACGGAGTGGCTGTCTCGAAGAGAGCAGAGGCACCCTGCTCCTTGAAGGTAGCCACCTCACTCCCAGCCAGCAGCCACAGCACTTGCCAGACACACGAGAGACACTGGGACGTTCCAGTGTCCAGACATCTACAGACCTTCTAGACATCCACTGCCCCAGCCAATGCCGCAGGAACAGAAAGCTGCCTGGTTGAGTCCGTTCAACCCACAGAGTCGTGGGAGATAATTAAAGGCTGTTGTTCTTTAAAGCTAGGGGTTGACTGTAAAAGGCCAGACAGTCAATACTTCAGGCTTTGCGAGTCACAGTCTCTGTCACAACAACTCAACTCTGCCAGAGATGATATCAATGGATGACTGTGGCTGTGTTCCACTTTATCTGCAGACAGAAAGTTTTGAATTTCACATAATTTTCACGTGTCACAAAATCTGAATCTTCTTTTGATTTTTTCCAATCATTTTAAAATATAAAAACCATTCTTAGCTCACAGACTATACAAAAAGAGGCAGTGGGGCCGGATTCAGCCCAGGAGCTGTAGTTTTCTGACCCCGATTTTAAGCATTTGAGATTTTGGGGCGGTGTGTTAAGTAGCAAGAGAGACCTGAACCATGGAAAGGTAAAGGAAGGGTGTGTGACAGTCAGAGAGCAAGAGTTTCGAAAGCGGACAGACCTGGCCCTGACCTAGCTCCGCCTTGCTGCCGCGCAGCCTTAGACCAGTTATACAACATCTCTAAGGCTCAGCTCCCTCATCTGTTAAAACAGGCGGGACAACAGCACTACACATCTCACGGGGTCCCCATGGGGCTTAAGAAGAACACCCACGATGCACTCAGCTGGCAGACGGTAAGCACTGAGCAGCTGGCAGCCACAAAGACCCAGAGTCAGCATAAGCAGGACGCCCGCCCGTTATTTAGACCTATCTGGATTAGCTCGTTAATTTCATGTATTACCCAAAATCACTTTTGATCAGCTACTCCAAAACCAAACCAGATAACTGCCGCCCAGTCGATTCTGACTCGCAGCGACCGCATAGGGTTCCAAGGCTGTAAACCGCCAGGGAAGCCGACTGCCACATCTTTCTCCCAAGGTGCTGCTGATGGTTTTGAACCGCTGACCTTTCCGTTAGCAGTCAATCACTTTAACCACTGCGCCACCAGGGCTGCTCGACCAACTACTAAACACCAATAAATATTCCAATGATTTATGACTATGAAAACAAGCTGGAAACTTGGAAAACACAAACGAGTCACATATTCTACTGTATTATAACACTATTTGGCATAAAATAGCGTTTCTACTCTTTCTATCAAATTTGTGCTGTGTGCACAGAACAAAAGCTTCCATTCATTTTAAAATGCCTTATGACTAAAGCATTGGCTTAGCAAGGAAGCAGATTCTTCACCTCCAGCAATAAAAATCAAATCACATTCACATTTCCTGAAATTTGAGAAAAAAGCAGAAGCAGCTTGGGCTCCCCCTTCTCTATGACAAAGCGTGGTTAGCCGTTTTATTGTTCACGCTTACCAAGAAAGGTAGTGGAAACAACGCAGGTTCCTCAAACAAGGCGAGAGAAAGGTCTACGAAAATAAAGAAGTTTGTGGCCGCTCGCACTGTCCAGTGGTTATAAAAATTGTAAAGTCTGGAGAGGAAAAAAATACAGGTTATAAACCAGGAGGAGAGTTAAACAGCACTGAAACTTCTCATTAAAACACTCATGGTGGGTAAGATAAAGCTCTGGCTTTGGTCACATTTCCCTTAAATTCCAGACAGCAGGGGGCACGCACTCCAAAACACCCTCCTAATGAGAAAACAAAACAAAACAAAAAAATCAAGAACCTTGTTACATCCCAAAGCACATAACCTTGACGGTCTCAAGCCAGGATGAGTGCCTTCCTCACGGGGTTGTTGTGGCAGTAAGAGAATACTTTCAAATGACGCTGAACCGTGACTTATACAGACTAACCTTTAGTTAAAGTGACCTACTACACATGGCAACGGAGCCCTGGCGGCACAGTGGTTAAGAGCTCGGCTGCTAACCAGAAGGTCAGCAGTTCAAATCCACCAGCCACTCCTTGGAAACCCTATGAGGCAGTTCTACTCTGTCTTCTGGGGTTGCTATCAGTCGGAGCTGACTCGATGGCAATGGGTTTGGTTTTGGTTTTTATTATATGTGGCAGGATAGCCTAACCTGACTGTGAAACGTCTATCAAACCATCTTAAAATGTTAACTCAGAAGAGATCTCTCGGTCACACAGTGCTATTCCTGGGGCAGGAGCAGGCCCCCACACTGGCTGGGCGCGCCCAGGGATGAGGCACTCCTCCCTCACACGCTGACTTTCAGCACTTTGATGACAACCAGTTGCCATTGAGTCAACCCCATGTGTGTCGGAGCAGAACTGTGCTCTGGAGGGTTTTCAACGGCTGATTTTTCCGAAGTAGATCACCAGGCCTTTCTTTCAAAGAGTCTCTTGGTGGACTCGAACCTCCAACATGCAGGTTAGCAATCGAGCTTGTTAACTGTTGGCACCACCCAGGAACTCCCAGCCCTATGCTGAGAAACATTTTTTTCCTTATTCTGAGCCAAATCCCTGGTCTTCATTCAACCCTTAGGGGGTGACAGAGAAAAAGCTGAGTCCTCACGAAAAGAACAAATGTATGAATTGCATCAAAAGGCAACAGAAAGGGCAAAAAAGTCTTCACTTCAGGCTACTCTAAAAGGACACCAGGAGCCCTGGTAGTGCAATGGTTAAAGCGCTCGCCTGCTAACCAAAAGTGGGCAACTCAAATCCACCAGCTGCTCTGTGAGAGTCAGTTTCCATAAAGATTGCAGCCTTGGAAACCCTATGGGGCAGCTCTGCTCTGTTCTACATGGTCACATTGAGTAGGAATCGACTTCACGGTAACGGCTTTAAGAGGACACCTACGTCTAGGAGGAACAGATCATGACATATTTCCAACTGGAATGCCCTGTCTCCTCTCCTGGAGGTCGTCCATTTACTCAAGGATCTGTTCACGATATATTTATTGAATGCTTCCCTATGGGTGAGATCCCATACTCTTATAATTTGAAAAAAAAAAAAAAAAAGAATCATTGGATTATCCCAATCTACATGCCACACCCTATATGCTTCTCAAAATACTTATGGAAACAATGTCTTCAGTTTTGGTTCAACTTCAAGAATATTAAGTGCTAGAGGACAGATGGTTTGATGTAACAGTTTAACACTTTACTTACCTGATGGTCTGAGGTGATGTTTCAAACGGCACGTTTCTATTGTACTGGGCATCAGAAACATAGGCAGCTGCCAGGAGCAGGTCCTGTTCCCCACTGGAGAAAGTAAAGGAAGAATAACGGTCAGAGAAGGAGAGGACACTTTCCTTTTTCCTTTATAAGCATGTATCAAGTTATACTAGATATATATAACTTCCTCCACCTCTCCCACCAACCCCTCCCCAGTAACCAATGTTAACAGTATGGTATGCACACCTCCAAGGAGCCCTGGTGGCACAGTGATTAAGCACTCAGGTGCTAACTGAAAGATAGGTAATTTGAACCCATTAGCCACTCTGCAGGAAAAAGGTGTGGCAGTCCGCTTCCATAAACATTACAGCCTTGGAAACCCTATGGGGGCAGTTCTACTCCGTCCTATAGGGTCGCCGTGAGTAGTAATCGACTCGTTGGCACACAACAACATGGACACCTCTAGATATTTCCCTGCGCATGAAGTATCCCACAGGGGACTGGGCCACAGGCACATTTCACTTTCTTGAATTCAAATACAGGCTCTCAGAAGAGGAAAAGAAAACAATAAAGCACAGAATAGAACATATAAAAACCCATTGCCATCAAGTCAATTCCAACTCATAGCGACCCTACAGGACAGAGTAAAACTACCCCATAGGGTTTCCAAGGAGTAGCTGGTGGATTTACACTGCCGACCTTTAGGTTAGCAGCCGAGCTCTTAACCACTGCGCCACCAGGGCTCCAACAGAACATATGTTGTTGTTCATAGGTGCCATCAAGTCGGTTCTGACTCATAGCGACCGTATGTACAACAGAACGAAACGCTGCCAAGTCCTGCACCATCCTCACGATTGTTATGCTTGAGCCCATTGTTGCAGCCACTGTGTTAATCTATCTTGTTGAGGGTCGTCCTCTTTTTTGCTGACCCTCTGCTTTATCAAGCATGATGTCTTTCTCCAGGGACTGGTCCCTCCTGATAACATGTCCAAAGTATGTGAGACTTAGTCTCACCATCGTTGCTTCTCAGAAGCATTCTGGTTGTACTTCTTCCAAGACAGATTTGTTTGTTCTTTTAGCAGTTCATAGTATATTCAATATTCTTGGCCAACACAGTTCAAAGGTGTCAATTCTTCTTCGACCTTTCTTATTCATTGTCCCGCTTTCACATGCATATGAGGTGACGGAAAAAAACCACGGCTTGGGTCAGGCGCACCTTAGTCTTCAAGGTGACATCTTTGCTGTTTAACACTTTAAAGAGGTCTCTTGCAGCAGATTTGCCCAATGCAATGTGTCTTTTGCTTTCCTGACTGCTGCTTCCATGGGTGTTGATTGTGGATCTAAGTAAAATAAAATTCTTGACAACTTCAATCTTTTCTCCATTTATCATGATGTTGCTTCTTGGTCCAGTTGTCAGGATTTTTGTTTTCTTTATGTTGAGGTGTAATCCATACCGAAGGCTGTGGTCTTTGATCTTGCAGCTGTTTCTTCTCATTTTGAGTCGTGCCACATGAAAGTGGCAAATGAAGGTCCCAAAGGCTTGACTCCATTCACGTCATTAAGATCCATCTCTACTTTGAGGAGGCAGCTCTTCCCTAGACATCTTCTGAGTGCCTTCCAACCTGAAGGGTTCATCTTCTGGCACTATATCAGACAATGTTCCGCTGCTATTCATAAGGATTTCACTGGCTGATTCTTTTCAGAAGTAGACTGCTGGGTCCTTCTTCCTAGACTCTCTTAGTCTGGAAACTCAGCTGAAACCTGTCCACCATGAATGACCCTGCTGGTATCTGAATACCGGTGACATAGCTTCCAGCATCACAGCAACATGCAAGCCCCCCCAGTACACAACAAACTGACAGATGAGTGGGGGAAGAGAACATATATATGTACTTAAATGAAGTATTTATACATGCATGTATAAGGTTATACATACTAAATTATACAGAGAGTACTTGACGGACAGTTGAAGGAGTTTTGAAGGGTGATCTTGACAAGTAAATTACTGCTTTTCTTGCTGACTTTTGAACCTAACCCCCTCTTAGAGTACGACTCCAGTCTATACATACTCAATTTTAAAATAATAAAATTGTTTTCATATTATACACAACTTACTATTTTCACATACAATATCCTGGATATTGTTTTCCATGACAGCACGTATAACTCTACCTCACTCTTTTAAACACATGCCTCTTCATTTAGGGCATTTCAATTTTTTTTTTATTTCGAACACAATTACATTGACTATGTTTTAATTCTATGTGTCTGCGTGCGGATGCGTATCTTTGTGACAGAGGAGTGTTTCTGCAGGATACAGTGTTAACTGTGGTTGTTGCTGCTGTTGTTAGGTGCCATCAAGTCGGTTCCGACTCACAGTGACCCTGTGTACAACAGAACAAAACACAGCCTAGTCCTGCGCCATCCTCACAATCGTTATGCTTGAGCCCACTGTTGAAGCCACTGTGTCAATCCATCTCATTAAGGGTCTTCCTCTTTTTCACTGACTGTCTACTTTACCAAGCATGATGTCCTTTCCAGGGATTGATCCCTCCTGATAACATGTCCAAAGTATGTGAGACGTGGTCTCACCATCTTTGCTTCTAAGGAGCATTCTGGCTGTATTTCTTCCAAGACAGATTTCGTTCATTCTTTTGGCAGTCCACGGTATATTCAATATTCTTCGCCAACACCATAATCAAAGGCGTCAACTCTTCTTTGGTCTTCCTTATTCATTGCCCAACTTTCACACGCATATGAGGTAACTGAAAATACCATGGCTTGGGTCAGGCGCACCTTAGTCCTCAAAGCAACATCTTTGCTTTTTAACACTTTAAAGAGGTCTTTTGCAGCAGATTCACCCGACGCAATGCATCTTTTGATTTTCTGACTGCTGCTTCCATGGGTGTTGATTGTGGATCCAAGTAAAATGAAATCCTTGACAACTTCAATCTTATCTCAATTTATCATGATGTTGCTTATTGTTCCACTTGTGAGGATTTTTGTTTTCTTTATGTTGAGGTGTAATCCATACTGAAGGCTGTGGTCTTTGATCTTCATCAGTAAGTGCTTCAAGTCCTCTTCACTTTCAGCAAGCAAGGGTTGTGCCATCAGCATAACACAGGTTCCTAATTGCTAGATGAAAGGTATTTTTTATATTGGCCTCTCAAAAAGTTACACAGTTTACGTACCTCAAAACAGCACATGAGCATACATGTTTTCCTGCCCCGCACCAACACAGATATAATTTAAAATGGTTGCTGACATCCAGTCAGCCAAAGGGGCGTCTTGCGTGCTTAGTTTGCATTCCCCCATTGCCAGAACCACGGAGCACCTCTGTGCTGTGACTGGCCCTTCACACTTCTGATTCTCTAATAAGAAGATAATAATGTCACCAAACTGTACCCGTGAAGAACGCTAAAATGACAAATGTTTTCTTATGTATGTATTTATCACAATTTAAAAAAAAAAAAAAAAAAAACAATTCACCATGAAAAAAATCCAGACTGGGACAGCAAAGAATTCGGATACTAAGACTTTTTAATTTTTAAGTATTTAAAGCAAAATCTTTTAAGGTCACTGCTGTTCCCGATTTAAAGAGGTGAGCCACTAGCATGCGTACAGTTCTTGTGAAGCAGTCTGTCCAGCCACACTCACAGATTTGTGGTGCAGCACCCAAAAGCCCTCTCCCCAGAAAGTGAAAAAGCACGAACCAGTAAAACTTCAAACAGCCATGCCCTGGGGGTTACCTCCATCAACAACACCCAGACTCTGGACACAATGACAGAAGCACCACATCACTCCCCTCCGTTCCCCTCTGTCATTCAAACTCCTCCCTGTTGGTTTAAATATGCAGAAGCTTTCATGATGGGTAGTTTACCTTTAGGAGTTCCGGTGGCACACTGGTTAAGCGCTCAGCTGCTAACCAAATGTCAGCAGTTCAAACCCACCAGCTGCTCCACAGGAGAAAGATACGGCAGTCTGCTTCCATAAAGATTTACAGCCTTGGACACCCTATGGGGCAGCTGCACTCTGTTCTATCAGCAGAGGCGTAACTAAAGTATGGCAGGTAGGGCTCAGCCTGGGGCGCCACTCGAGGAGGGGCGCTAACGAGCAGTTTCTATTGGCCATCACAGTTGCCACGCCTGCTGTGAGAGATCATTCCGCAATTTAAAACTAACTGCCACTGGTGCTATTTTCCATAGACAGGCCCAGGGCTTCCAACCTATTCGAAATGGTTCGATCATGGCCAATGGAAAGAAGGGCAACATACATGTTGCATAGCAACCAAATCTCTTGCCCGTCAGATTTTGACCCGAGTAGGAAACAGCGATGCCCTGCTTAAAGACAGAGAGCAACACACATTCAAAGAGCTGCAGCTGGCCGCCATCTTTGAACAGGACACGACTGTTTCCTACTTGTGTTAAAATCCGACAAGCAAGAGATTTGGTTGCTATGCAACAGGTACGCTGCCCTTGTTTCCATTGGCCATGACAGAACTGTTTCGAACCAGTTCAAAGCCCTGGACAGGTCCCTGCCTATACGATCATTATGAACCAGAATCAACTCAACTGCAACAAGTGTGGTTTTTTTGATTAGTTTACCTTTATGTTAAAGTTTCTAAAGTTTTCCTGTTCATCTTAGTTATATGGTGCTGCTATAACAGAAATACCACAAGTGGATGGCTTCAACAAAGAGAAATTTATTCTCTCACAGTCTAGCAGGATAGAAGTTCAAATTCAGGGCATCAGCTCCAGGGGAAGGCTTTTTCTGTCTGTCAGCTCTGGAGGAAGGTCCTTGTCATCAATTTTCCCCTGGTTGAGGAGCTCCTTAGGCACAGTGACCCCTGGGTCTGCACTCTGCTCCTGGTGCTGCTTGCTTGGTGGTATGAGGTCTCCCTGTCTTTCTGCTCGCTTCTTTTATATCTCAAAAGAGACTGGCTTAAAACACAATCTAATCTTGTAGATCTCATCAACATAATGGCCACTAATCCATCTCATTAACATCACAGTGACAGGAATTTACAACACACAGGAAAATCACATCAGATGACAAAATGGTGGAAATCACACAATACTGGGAATCATAGCCTAGCCAAGTTGATACACATATTTTTGGGGACACAATTCAATCCATGACACTGTTTTTAATAGGTATTACATTCCTAACTTCTGTTCTCTTTTTCAAACCTCACTGCTCTATCTTCTGGTCCTATTTGTCTTCTCTCCTGTCCTCCCTCCCATTTTTGTGCAACTCTTAATCCTCCTGACCATTTTGCTTGGGAAAGAGTACTCTTAGCAAGCCATCTTACTGTAATGAGCATCCTTACTTTATATTAAGTTAATCTGTATCTTCCCATAAAACAAATTGTTCTCATGCAACCTGAGAATGTGGTCTATGTTAGACATGCTGTTCCAAAACTGCACTCACTTTTCAAGTTTACATGAGAACAACTGCCCATATTTACCATGAAAACGGCAAAGACCTGATAGCAGATGTTCCCACAGATGTAGTTTACATGTAGCTGCACACCTCAAAACAGCAGCACCAGCCTACCTACAGGAGGTGCTGGTGACCAGCTGGGTAGTGGTTCTCAACCCCCATGGCACATCAGAATCATCTCAGAAGCTTTTAAATATCCAAATGCCGGGGTCCTACCCAGGCCATTTGCATCAGAATCTTTGGTTAACAAGGTCCTGGTTTCTTTATTTCTCCATTCCTCCTCATCCTCTGGCCAGCTACCCACTTGTCCTGGGAAGATAGCTCCCCCAATTCTACCTACTGTTTCCCCAGCCACATGGGGGAGGGGGATGAAGGGGGAGAGAGAGCACAGGAGGGAGGGGAAGACTGATTCTAGAAGCTCTCAGTAGAAGCAAGGAAGTTCCAACCCTAAGCCCCCAGTAAATACCTTCTCCAGTCTCATTGGCCTTAAGAAAGGATGTAGGAATAAACAACTGTAAGCCCCACATAACTTTAAGTCAGTCAGTAGGGAAACTAGAGAAAACAAGTTGTTGAGAGAGTTGCTTTGAAAACAGAGTCGATATGTCTTGCTTAGATAAGAAAGGTCACACAACTAACCATAACCTGAGGTAAAGAGAAGTTACCATAAATATAAGTTACAATCTTCCCTGTATCATTTTTTCTTCCCAATCTTGATGCCTGCTCTGCCACTACAAACATGCTAGCCCTCTCTCTGTCCTCTTTCTCCCTCCCATAGGTTTATTCTATACATTGGTACCCAAAATAGGGTAGACCATTGCTTTCCTCCTGAAATTCCCATTCAAAAGCTTCAAGTGACTTCTCTTTGCCTAGAATGATTCCTCTTCACCAACAGAATCAAGTCCAAAACACTTGACTTAGCATTTAGTTCTCTCTCCAACTTTATCTCCCTTACTTTCCTACAGGAACTCTCTGGCCAACACTTGTGGACTAGTCCACTGTCCCACCACCGGCCCCACGGCGATGCCCTATCTCATGCTCACCTAGCACCAGGAGCAGCCTTCCCACCTTCTTTCATTGGGGGTTGTTATGGATTGAATTATGTCCCCCAAAATGTGTTGTAAATCTTAATGCCTATACCTGTGGATGTAATCCCATTTGGGAGTGGGTTTTCTTTGTTATGTTAATTAAGCCCCAACAGTGTAGGGTGTGTCTTAAACCTGTCTCAAATTACTTTTGAGACACAAAAGGAGCAGATTAGGCACTGCAGCAAACAAGCAGGAATGGGGGAAAGATACATGCCATGTGGAAGTCTCCAAGGAATGTTAAGAAGAACGCTAAAGAAGCTGAGACAAAGATTTTCTCCTGGAGCAGACAGAGAGAGCCTTCCCCTAGAGCCAGCACCCTGAACTCAGACTTCTAGACTCCTAAACTGTGAGAAGATAAATTTCTGTTCATTAAAAACGAGACTAATGGGCACAACAGCCCAGGACAAGGACTAGAAGGCAAGAGGGGACAGGAAAGCTGGTAATAGGGAACCCAAGGTCAAAAAGGGCGAGTGTTGACATGTCGTGGGGTTGTTAACCAGTGTCATAAAACAGTATGTGTACTGCTTAATGAGAAACTATTTGTCCTGCAAACCTTCATCTAAAGTACAATAAAAGCAACTAAAACAAAAATTTCTGTTCGTTAAAGCCACCCACTTGTGGTATTCCTGTGACAGCAGGACTAAGACAGGGGTCCATCTCAAATTTCACTTTAAGAAGACTAGGAATACCCGCAGCTTCAGTTCTCATATGGAAAGACCGTATGAAGAAAGCAAGGTTAAGAAGAGTATCGTGGGCATTCCACAATATAGAAAGAAATTCTCGCTAGGGGTAAGATGGGGCACAGCAGTTGTAGGAAGAAGAGTGAGAGAATAGGTGGCAATGTAGTGTTAGCAAAAAGAGCTCGTGTCCCTTTATGTGAAAAGCTGCAAGCCGACAACCTACAGGCCAAGTTCAGCCTGAAGATGTGTTTTGTCTGGCGCAGAAGGTGCCTTTTGGTGTGTTGGCTACTAATTCAAATTTTTTTAAAAACTGCAACTTACACAGAAATTTGAACTTCTGGTTTCTCTGTAAAAGATTGTAACATCCGGCAACGCTGGGCTGCATTTCAGCAAGCTTTTGCTAACCGCCCTAAAACACAGTCACCTGAACAAACACTTATATTTTCCCAAGTTCTGTGGGTCAGCTGACAGTTCTTCTTGTTGGAGCCAACTTAGCCTTCGCTATATTGCTCTGGGGCTAGATGTCTGGGCCATGTGCATCATCCAGCAGGCTAGCCAGGGCTCTTTCTTATGGTGGTGGTCAAAGGGTTCCCAAGAGCATCAAGATAGCAAGCCTCAATGCCCATGTACTTTTCAGGCCTCTGCTTGTGACATGTCTGCCAACGCCTAATGCCCACTGGCTAAAGCAAGTCTCATGGCCAAGCCCAGATTCAAAACTCGTTGCCGTCAAATTGATTCCAACTCATAGTGACCCTATAGGACAGAAAAGAACTGCTCCCTAGGGTTTCCAAGGAGTGGCTGGTGGATTCGAACTGCTAACCTTTTGGTTAGCAGACGAGCTCTTAACCACTGCACCACCAGGGCTGCAGCACAGATTCAAGGGGTAGCGAAATCAATCCCATTATTGGTGTAAAGTTGCAAAAGTACACAGCAAAGGGGCATGTATCCAGGGTTGGGAAGAGTTTGTGGCCACAACAGTGGCATCACTGGGGTTGGTGTCACCCAGTGTGGTAACTCACGGTATCGCCCCTCCGTGGACCTCCTCCCGTACCAGACGATACAGAATCCTTAGTAATGTTTTTTGTACTAATGTTACTCGTAAATCATAATTCCTGTATATCACTCCTCCTTTTCCTTTAATTACTACTTCGTTCTCTAAAAAGTTATTGATATAGCTTCACAAATACTAATTACCACAATATTGTACGTAAAACATCAGAAAATTTGACAAAATCAGCAACTATGAAAACATCGGAAGCTTCGTTTTCATTAACAGCACGTGCTTGTAGTGGTGCAGATGAAACCACGATTTGGAGCGTCACTGTAATTGGGTAATAATGACAGCTCTGACCCGAGTGCATGAGAAGGTTCAAAAAGTAAATTAGCATAGTGTTTCAGCCTTGTAGGTATCTTGATACATGTAAGCCGGGCTTACTAAATATGTTTTTGTTGTTATAACTAACCACAGGGATTTCTTTTTAAATAATAAATTTCTGCTGAAATACTGCACAAAAAGTTTATATACAGTCATTCTGGTGTCACTCCCTCTGACAGTGTCACCCGGTGTCATCCGCACCCCACTAGTGATGCCACTGGGCCACGACCAGCTGGAGGTGGAGATCTGTGGACCTCTTCGGGCAAGGCACATGCCTTCCACGTCACTACAAGCGCCACCCCCATCACCCACCCCTAATCATTCCTACCCAGGCCACTGGTTTCTGTTGCTTCCTGACCCCTGTGGGCACTCAGCCTGTGACCACCTGTAATTCTTTCCCAAGCCCTCCTGGTGGGCCATTTTCACCCTGCAAGGAACTTCTCTACAAGCTGCTACAAGGGAACACCAGGGAAATCAAGAGTCCAAAACCAGGGTAGTCTAAGACCTGGGTGAACAGACTCAGAACAAGAACATTCAAGAAGCACATAAAGTATCAAGAGATGGGGACAAAGAACTGTCACAAAGAAACAGCAAAGGACATGGCTCTCAGTTCTGGCTGCACATTCGAATCACCAAGGAGCCTTAAAGTTACTGTTGCTCAGGCCACACCCAGACCAATAAAACCAGAATCTCAGAAGTAGGGCCTGAACCCCGGTACACTTCTAATAGCTCCCGGGGTGATTCTAACAAACAGTAAGGTTGAGAACCACCAGCACTGGATTATTTCATGTCAAAGCTGAAAGTGCTGGTAAAGTTCCCAAAGCAATGGACTGCCAACTCGATAGCAAAAAGGAGTTCCAAAAACCCCCCAGAAAGGAGAGGGCGGACCTGCATTTCAGGCGACGAGGCAGTTTCTTGTCAAGTGACCCCAAACTAACTTTTAAGGAAGGTTAACCGGGCAAATTGGCCACCGAGTGCCTGAGACTCTGCCTCTGGTTTGCTGACTCAGTCATTGCTGTTATCTCAGAAACCGGGAGGTTCTGTACCTGCTCCCCTGGGGAAACCTTTGAAAGATACTAAGATGCACTAAGTACCTGGCTCCTGAAGCTCCGCATTTGGCAAACCACTCACACAGGATCAGCTAAACCTCTGCAATGTTTTCAGCCTTCCCTGCCTTTCTGGGGTTCTCCAATTACTCATATTTTTACAGTGTTTCCTTATTTAGACAAACAAACATTCAGAACACAGAAAGACAACAATTTCAGGCTAAAGGGATTGTCTTTCCAGAAAAGACCCTGGTGATCACAGTTACGCCCATCAGCCCATCATTTTGTGGGAGGTGGGAAGCAAGGCCTGGTTTGGGCCAGAGCTGACAGTGAAGGCCAGACCAAGAATCCTTCCCCACCTCCCTCTACAGTGTCTGCTCCCTTAAGGGACAGGGGACACGGTGAGAACCTACCTGTTGGAAGTGGCCAAGTCCCTTAGGAAACCAGCAGGCCATGGAGAGGGAGGCCAATGCCAAGGCTTCTAAACTCCCCCCACCAAAAGCCTGCAGTTGGACCCTCTCAAAAGGCTACAGGAGCTCATGAGGAAGAGGCAGGCTTATCCCACACATCCCAGAGCTGAAGGGGGCAGTTCAAGGATGAGAGGAGGATGAAACTGAAACACCTTCACCTCCCAGACTCGTCACAACCAAAAGGAAGTGCAGCACACCTGAAGGGACCTGAAGGGACCTGAAGGGACCTGAAATGGACCTGAACGGACCTGAAGGGATCTGAAATGGACCTGAAATGGACCTGAAGGGACCTGAAATGGACCTGAAATGGACCTGAA